AAAAAAAAAAAAAAAAGTCATGTTTGCACTGAGCCCTCCCTGGCCACCCTATCTAAATCTTGCCTCTTTATCACCACATGACATGTCACGCCTCCATTTTCTAACACATTATACATTTTACTTTTTTTTTTTGAGTTGGAGTGCAGGGACACACTCACGCCACCACAGCCTTGATCTGCTGGGCTCAGGCGATCCTTCTGCCTCAGCCTTTCAAGTAGCTGGAACTACAGGTGTGTACCATCATACCTTGCTTGCTTATTTATTAATTAATTCATTCATTTACAAGCCAAGGTCTCGCCAAGTTGCCCAGGTTGGTCTTGAACCCTCGGGCTCGGGCAATCCTTTCTCCTCCACCTCCCAAAGTGCTGGGATTATAGGCATGAACCACCGCTTTTATTTTACTTCTTTATCTTGTTTGTTTCCTTAATTAGAACAGAGCTGGGATTTGTACTGTTTTGTCCCAAGCTGTATCCCCAATGCTTAGAACAGCAGTGCTTAGCACTGTAGATACTCAAGAAGTAGCTGTAGAAAAAAATCTTCTCCTTCCAAATTGTAGCTTTTGCTGCTGAAATCTATCTCCAAACTGCTCTAGCTTAACCCGCCTCCTGCAGCAGCCTCAATCTGGCCTTCTGCCTCTAGCCAGGCCTCGTCTAATCTACACATTATTCTAGAGACATGGCCCAAAAGCCCAAGTCTGACCATAATAATAACTTTGCCTGTGACATCCAGGAAGAAATTACTTTTTTTTTTAGTTGGAGTCTCTCTCTGTCACCCAGGCTGGAGTGCACACTCACAGCCACCACAGCCTTGACCTGCTGGTCTCAGCAATCCTGTCTCAGCCTTCCAAGTAGCTGGAACTACAGGCATGAGACACCACACCCAGCTAGTTTTGTGATTTATTGTGGAGATGAGGTCTCATCAAGTTGCCCAGGTTGGTCTCAAACCCCTGGGCTTAGGTAATCTCCTCACCTCCACCTTTCAAAGTGCTGGGATTACAGGCGTGAGCCATTGTGCCCAGCTTAGGAAGAAACTACATAATCCTAAAGCCAGGATCCCAAAGCCTAGAAAATCCTTCTGCTGTTGCATACATATATATATGTATATATATACTTTTGAGTTGGAGTCTCACTGTTGCCCAGGTTGGAGGGCAGTGGCACACTCCTGGTCACCACAGCCTCGACTTGCTAGGCTCAGGTGATCCTTCCACCTCAGCCTACCTCCAAGTAGCTGGAACTACGGGCACATGCCACCACGGTCAGCTGATTTTTTGATTTATTGTAGAGATAAGGTCTTGCCAAGTTGCCCAGGCTGGTCTTGAGCCTTTGGGCTCAGGCAATCCTCTCACCTCAGCCTCGCAAAGGGGTAAGATTATAGGCATGAGCCACTACACCTGGCCTGTTGCATATTTTACATGTCTATCTCATGAGACTCCGAGAGGGTAGACCCAGTATCTGACTCATTTGTGTTCCCAGGGACCAGCATACACCCTACCAGAAAACCTAAACAATTATTTCACTGAGCAAATCACACACTTCCCTGAGTTTGTTTCCTCATCTATAAAATGGGGCTGATAATTCCTGCCATGCAAAGGCCTCAAAATATGGCAAGGCTCAAACTCGGTTATTCAGAAGAAAAGGACAACACAAACATGAGGAGCGATGACAGCTGACACATCAAGAGCTTCATTTAAAGGACAGAAATCTATGTTCTGAGCAGGCATTTCTGCAACCTCTGCTGCTGGCTGGAGTCTGGCTGGGGCCTCTTGCTTCCTACAACAGGCCTTTCTTGGGAGTTCACAGGTTGGAAGAGAACCCAGGACCTGGTCTGGCCTGCCACCTTGTGGCCATCGACAGAGCTGCACCACCCATCACAAGGTGAGCAGACACCACAGCCTGAGACGCAGAGCAAAGATTGTGCTTTTCCTTTAGAAACGAGAAAATTTAAGCTTCATGGGGAAAAGTGACTTATTCAAAGCCACACTGTCAGCAGGCCACGACAGGAGAGACAGTTGCAAAACAACCAGCTGGCTCTACTGCTTACTCACTAGCTGTGTGACTGAGAAAGTTGCCTCTTCTCTCTCTGAGTCTTGGTTTCCTCAGAGGTTTATTGTGAGAAAAACCTGACAGGGGCAGGCACTTCAGGTGTGCCCAGGCCTAGGGTCCCATCTGTGAGATCTGAGTATTGATCTAGTCGGGGATTCTAAAAATAGTCATCAAATATGAAAAACAAATGTGTGATAGGGTAGTATGTGTATCTTAATTAATGCATTAATCTAGGGGCAGGTCTAATGACTACTGTCACATAAGATCTGCCCAATCCTAATGTGATATAAAAATACCTGCCATTTCTATTGGTAAGTCACAGACCCTGAAAATACTGGTGACATCTCTTGCCTACCTTCATAATGCTTAGTTTCACTTAGAGATTAGAAGGAAAAAAGGAAGTAAGTTTTCCCCTCATTCCAGTTTATAGAATCTCCTTAATTCTGCCCTCAGACCAGAAGGGTCCACTGACCTCAGAATAAGAACATCCGGTCTAGGCCAGGCGAGGTGGCTCAATCCCGTAATTCCAGGACTTTGGGAGGCCGAGGCAAGAGAATCACCTGAGTTTAGGGGTTCGAGACCAGCATGGGCAACTTGGTGAGACCTCGTCTCTACAATAAATCAAAAAATATGCTGGATGTGGTAGTGAGTCCCTATAGTTCCAGCTACTTGGAAGGCTGAGGTGGAAGGATCACCTGAGCCCAGCAGGTCAAGGCTGCGGTGGCTGTGAGCGTGCTGCTGCACTCCAGCCTGGGTGACAGAGTGAGACTCCAACTCAAAAAAACACTTGGTCTAGATGGTGGTGAAGGATCATGTGCTGAATCTGTTCTCTCTGCATTATATCACATTGCCTTTGAAACAGGTGCAAGACCCAGAGCAAAGCAGAAACGCATATCTTCAAAATGAGCCTCACAACCAATCTCGCAACAGATTTCTGAAGTAACTGAGCAAGACTGGTGCATGAGTAGGGCAGTCCAGGGCCTGGGATCCCTCTGAATACCTCCCAGGAGGAGCACTTTAACTCCTGCTGAGGATTCTTTAGCAAAAAGTCATCAGGAGTCATCCTTCCTAAAAAGAGGATGAAGGTGACAGAGTGAGACTCCAACTAAAAAAAAAAGAAAAAGAAAAAAACACTTTTTTGTAAGAAGGAAATAGAATAGAGAGAAAAATTTTTTTAACTAAAAAAAAAGAGGATGAAGAGCAAAACTTATTCTTAAAAAACCCAGAAATCTGCTTTGTTACCCTCACGGTCAGGCTCACCTTATGAGAGACAGCAAGAGAAACTAGACAGAGCAGACCCAACACCATGTATATCCAGCCAACCATCTACACACCCACACAATAAACATCTCTACTACCTGCTGGTGCCCTGGCCTAGGCTGGTACTGGACAACATCTGCAATCTAGGAAGGTAAGAGCAAGTCAGGCATCCTGACTGCCAGGAGACATGGCCAGGAGACATGAAGAGGTACTGGCTGATGGGACAGCCATGATGCCTGGCCTCGCAAGCACTTACACCCAGCAGGAGAGTGAGATATTAACACAAACCCACAAATACATAAGACATAGTTATCAATAAAGAGAAAATAAGTAAAAGAAAAGGCAGGGCAACAAATGATAGAGCCTAGCAAATAACAGGCAATCGAGACAAATGCTCATCACCCCTACTTTATACTACTGTGCCTCAAGGCTTAGGGTGACCGACTCAATGTCATAGCCAGTAAGTAGAAAAGCCAGAATTCAAACCAGGATCCTGTGTCTCCCTCCACACGAGAGGCCCCCTCACTTGGGGATGCAATCCTTCAATAAGCATTCTTGATGTGCCTACTATGTGCTGAGTGCCCTTCCCCCACTGGCCACTGTGATCAGTGTCCTCACCTCTAGGTCACAGAAGAGCAGGGGGCTTCGGTAGGTGTGGGCCAGCTTCATGATGGTGTGCCGGTGAATGCTGCAGTGGCTCTCCCGCCCAGCTGCAAAGAAGCCGTGAGTGCTACAGCTGCAATCTCTACCTTTATGTCTGGAATCCAGGAAGCACTAGCAAAGTCATTTGTTCACCTCCCCCCTTTGGGTCTCAGTTTCTTTCTAGTTAATGGAGTGATAATCCAGTTTTACCTTCTTTTCTGGGTAGTCAAGATCACCAAATTAGACAATGAGGATAATAATAGCTCCTACCCTGCTGGGTTATTCTAGACAGTGAGTGAGTTGATATCTAGAAGTTACCAGGCCTTCATTTTTCCACCAGTGCTTATTGAGAACAATCTATGCCAGGCCCTCCCCTTAAGGAGCTAACAGTTCAGCTGGGGAGGCAGACAGGTCAGACATATCATCAATGCCAGAGGTGAGTTTTGAGGTATTTGTAGGGGTGAGCAAGACAAAAAAGTGGAAAAAAAGCATTTGAGAGAAGTCATATAGTAATAATTAAGAAGATGGCCCCTAGAATAGAACTACTCAGGTGTGAACCTCAGTTCCACCACTTTTTAGATAGGGGGTCTTGGGCAAGTTACTTAACTTCATGACCAGTTTTCTCAGTTATAAAACTGAGATAATAATATCTACCCCAAAGATTAATATGATATAAAAGACAAAGCAGCCAGGTTATGGTGGCTCATGCCTGTTATCCCAGCACTTTGGGAGGCCAAGGCAGGTGGACTACTTGAGCCCAGGAATTCAAGACCAGCCTAGACAACATGGTGAGACCTTGTCTCTACAATTAAAAAGAAAGAAAAATTAGCTGGCATGGTGGCACGCACCTATAGTCCCAGCTACTTGGAAAGCTGAGGCAAAAGGATGGCCTGAGTCCTGCAGATCAAGGCTGCTATAGCAGTGATAATGACACTACACTCCAGGATGCACAACAAAGTGAAACTCCAACACACACACACACACACACACACACACACACACACACAAAAGACAAAGCAACTACAGACTACAGTGTTTGGCTCACAGTGAGAGTTCAATAAAGGTTAGCTATTATTATTTCCACTGTTAATATTACGAAGTCTCAGGAACAGCAAGACTTTTTCAGAGAATTATAAGCAGACTCAAAGAATGAGAGTAACAGGAGATGAGACGAGACAAGAAGACAGAGGCCAAACTGCAAAGCACTCTGTGTCTTTAGAGGAGTTTGGATTTTACTCTGAAAGTTACAGGCGGCCACTAGGCAACTCCAAGCAAGAGCAAAATTATCTACTCAGAGTCACTTTTAGAAAGATTATCAACAGGTCAGATTCCAAAGTAAATGTTCTTTTCATTACCAGTAAGGAGTTTATAACTGCTGGGAGTGGGCAGGGGCAGGCCAGGGACATACTTACCACCTGTGGCGAGGAAGCAAACCTTCCCCAAGAAAAAGTTGGCATCCACATGCTGCAGGGATGTCTCTGTGTTCTGGAGGCTGGGGAGGCCAGGCCAGAGCGAGAAAACAAACCAGAGGACAAAAGTTTTCAACAGAGAAAGCCGAAGCCCCAGCTTTTCTGATCTTAACAAGGCCAGAGAATAAGAGGAGAGTGACAGAAAACAGCCATGGAGAAATATTTTGTCTTTTTTTTTTTGAGTTGGAGTCTCACTCTGTTACCCAGACTAGAGTGCAGTGGCACGCTCCCGGCCACCGCAGCCTCGACCTGCTGGGCTCCAGTGATCCTTCTGCCTCAGCCTTCCAAGGAGCTGGAACTACAGGCATACACTACCATGCCCAGCTAATTTTTTGTTTATTGTAGAGATCAGGTCTTGCCAACTTGCCCAGGTGGGTCTTGAACCTGCAGGCTCAGGCAATCTACTCGTCTTGGCCTCCTAAAGTACTGGGATTACAGGCTGAGCCACCGAGCCCAGCCTACTTTGTCTTTTTTAAAAATTACTTTTAATTACAAAGCAATTGATGCTCGTAAAATAATCAAATGGTAAATATGAATATATACTTAAAAAGTAAAGGCCTGCTGAGCATGGTGGCTTATGCCTGTAATCTCAGCACTTTGGGAGGCTGAGGCAGGAGGACTGCTTGAGCGCAGGAGTTTGAGACCTGCCTGGGCAACAAAGCAAAACCTCGCCTCAATCAATCAATCAATCAATCAATCAATCAGTCAATCAATCAAATTCACCAGGTGTGATGGTACACACCTGTAGTCCCAGCTACTTGGGAGGCTGAGGTGGAAGGATTGCTTGAGCACAGGAGGATGAAGCTGCAGTGAGCTGTGATCACACCTCTGTACTCCAACCCGGGCGACAGAAGGAGACTCCCCCCCAACTCAAAAAAAAAAAAAAAAAGTAAAGGCCGTCTCTCTCAGCACCACATTTTACTTTCAATTCCCCAGAGGAAACTGCTGCCAACAGTTGGGGGTATAATTCTTTAAGAATTTTTTCATATGCAAATAGACAGTGGTATAAACAGGAGACCCTCAAAAACCAGAATTTATTTATAAAAAATTGTATGTTTATTCTTACATGTTTAAACTTCAGTCACTTTCAAGGCATTCTCCATTTGATGCAATATACCTATAGAGAGGCTTTTTCCACTACTCAAAACAGTATTTGAACTCATCAAATTTGATGCCTTTTAGTGCTTCTGCCGTTTTTTTGTTTTACATCTGCCACATCAGCATAACATTTCCCTTTGAAAAATTTTTCCATTGGGGAAACAAAAAAAATTGCTCAGGGAGAAATCGGGTGAATAGGGAGGGTGGGGCATGGGAGTCATAACATTCTTTTGATCAAAAACTGCTACATACTTAGTATGGTGTGGGCAGGTGTGGAAAAAATCACCCATCATGAAATGGGCAAACATTGAAAGAATCTCCAAAAAAAAAAAAAAAAAGAGAAGCTGAATATACCCTCTCACAACACTAGCTGGTACACTGATAGGTTCTTAGAACACTTACCTAGCACATGAAGCCTATCCTACAAAGGGCTTGTCCTCCAAAAGATAATTCCAATTTTGTTTTGTTTTTTTGGTTCCCCCTCATATAAGCATCTAGTTAGGCCCAACATATTATCAAACCCCTTACCAGTACATAGAAATCTGTTACATTCTTCCAAATGACTATATACTATACTACAATCTGACTACTTCCTAGTGACAGGAAGTAAGCCACCTCCAATTTTCACTATTGCAAATAATGTGGCACAAACATTCTTTTACACACATCCTTGTACATCCAAGCAAATATTTCTGTAAGGCAGATCCTAGAAGAATAGCTTGGTCACAGTATGTTTCTTTTGAAAATGTAGATGAATATTGCCAAAGTACTTTTCTTATTGGTTATACAGGTCTATTCATCCAATTGTATAAAATGTCCTTTTCCTCCCCAAACAAGGGCAGTCTGACCTCCTGGGTCGAGGATTTTATTCGTTGGTGTCCAGGGACTGAGGAAGGGATCTGATGTCTCCTGGCCAAAAAGCCATTTTGTTCAGGTAGTCCAAGCCAGGGTTTCAGCCTGAGGCCAACGGCAACAATTGTGCTGCCCCTAAGGGTGGCTGCAGAACAGGACCTTGCCAAACACTGGGCCAGCATCTCTTCTGGTGAACAGAAAAGCCTAACCCAAAGAGCAACACATCTGCTGAGGTGAGATCTTATGGCAATCATGGCACATTTCAGCTTTTTCTCAGACCCATCATGGGCCTAAACCTCTGCTGCCTAGTTCTAACCTCAGAGAACATTAGTTAAATAAACAAATGACAGTGTTAGGATTTATCAGTGTTTTTTAAACACTGGCCACTGGCCACTGGCTCTTTCCTCCTCACCCTGTAGGTTGACCCCAGGTAGCCTCTTCCCCTTCTCATCATAAATGAGGTCACTGTCCCAGTACACTCTAAGCCAGGTCTGCTTGAGCCCTGACAGCACCTGTCCTCGGGTTCTTACCTGTATTTGCTGTGAAGGTTAACCACAAACACAATCAGGTCAATTCGGGGCCGGTTCACATCGGAGGGCAAAGGGAGGGACTTTGCCAAGTGGCTGAAAAAATAAGAAATTGCAGGACTAAAGATACTTGTACCCCCCTCACAGTGACCGATTACATGCTGCCCTTCATGGGAGAAGAGACGTCAAGGCTCCTCATCTATTCACCTGATGTTCTTGTGGTCAAGTCTCCTTGGGTGAGCACTAAGGCAGAACAGAGCCAGATCACTCCTGTCTGATTATCCCCACCAGAAAGAGGCTCTGTTTATAGTAACCACCTTGGCAAGGGGGAGGTTAGATATAAGATGGCTTGGGCCTAGCCAGCTACACCGCATGCTGGAAGACCAGGCTTAGAAGAGAGAGTACTGGACTGTGAGGTTTAGGAACTAAGACTGAATCTTTTTGGAGTGAGAACTATGTGGGCTCATGTTCCAGTTCTATCAATTACTAACTATGTGACCTTGGGCAAATCATTCCCATATGAACTTGGTCTCTGGTTGTCAAACCTGAAGGCATTTCTTGAAGGCTTTACCTCTGCCCATTTCTATGTATTCCTATTACCTGTCTCTCTCTCCTGCAGATTATAATTCAAGAAATACCAAAAACTACAAAAACACACACCCTCAAAAGCTCAGCTGCCTAGAAATTACTACTAACATTAAAACATTTTTATAAACATCTCTTCATGTATACAATGCATATACACATTCAGACAACAGAATAGATATAATCTAAAAATAAGAAAACTGTATTAGTTTGATTTAACCTGAAGGGAATAGAAACAAAAAAACTAAAGTTGAACTGAAAAAAGTAGATGAACTTTGGATAAACTATGTTTTGTTTTATTTTGTTTCTGAGTAGGAGTCTCACTCTGTCGCCTAGGCTGAAGTACAGTGGCATGCTCATGGTCACTGCAGCCTCAATTTGGTGGGCTCAGGTGATCCTTCTGCCTCAGCCTTCCAAGTAGCTGAAACTACAGGCACATGCCACTAGCCTGGCTAATTTTTTTGATTTATTGTAGAGATGAGGTCTCATCAAGTTGCCTAGGCTGGTCTCAAACTCCTGGGCTCAAGCAATCCTCTCAACTCCACTTCCCAAAGTGCTGGGATTACAGGCGTGAGCCACTGTGCCCAACTAAACTATATTTCTAATCACAAGAGAATATTTTCTAAAAGAGCTCAATTTTAAAAAGATTATGAAAAAATTAAGAAGTTGGCATCATTTAAAACTGTATGTTTCAATTTTATCCATATTAGATTGATTCTCTGACATCCTAATTGTTCATCCTACCACTTGGACAACATTCATAAATGTACATGTACATCATTACTATTATTGTTATTATTACATACATTTTGCTCTAACTATAACTTTAGACCTATGTTGATAAAGTTGCCACTCTGGAACACTGCTGACTGCTATGGGAAGCCAAAGGACCTTGGGAGGGTCTCTCTCTGGCAATGAAATGCTTTAGTGAAGAGATAGAAATTCTTGTTCACAACTAGGCTGGAATTAGTTATGGCTCCACACAACCCACAAGAGGACAAGAAGTGCAATCCCAGTTCTTTTATGTGCTGCAAAAGCAGAGAGCTGGAAATATTTGGCAACAGAATGAACAGATGACCATATAGGTGCTTTGCATTTCTGACTAAAAGTCTGAAAAATTATTTACCCCTTAAATTCAATAATTTACCTAGAAATAACTTGACATTAAGTGTTCTATATCCATTTTTCCTTGAACAAGACATATACACCCTTTTTATTGCATAAATTCAACTTTTCATCAATTTCAGGAAAATTTTCTTCAATTATATCTTTGAACATTTGTAATTTTCTCAAATCATTCTTCTTTGTAAATAATTAAGTTTTCAACCATATTTGATTTTTACTGTTTCTATATATTTATTAGATAACTCTCAAATGGTATTATTTTTGGCCCTCTTCTTTTACCCTTAGCTCTGCAGATCTCTCTTTTCCCCTTTCTGTTGTTTTATCATTAGATTTTTGAATGTTTCTTTTGAAAGTTCAGGTTCTTATTAAGTTTCTTAGTAGCACAGAGCACTCAAAGAGGAGCTTTCTTCTTATTTAAAGTGGGTCCGCTGGGCTTGGTGGCTCAGTCTGTAATCCCACGCCTTTGAGAGGCTGAGGTGAGTGGATTGCCTGAGCTCGCAGGTTCGAGACCCACCTGGGCAACTTGGTGAGACCTCATCTCTACAGTAAATTTTAAAAATAGCCGGGTGTGGTAGCACGCACCTGTAGTTCCAGCTACTTGGAAGGCTGAGGTGGAAGGATTGCCGGAGCCCAGCAGGTCGAGGCTGTGGTGGCCGGGAGCGGCCACTGCACTGCAGTCTGGGTGACAGAGTGAGACTCCAACTCAAAAATAAATGAATGAATGAATGAATGAATAAATAAATAAATAAATAAATAAAGTGGGTCCTAGCCGGGCTCGGTGGCTCAGCCTGTAATCCCGCTCTTTGAGGTGAGTGGACTGCCTGAGCCCGAGGTTTCGAGACCCGCCCGGGCAACTTGGCGAGACCTCATCTCTACGATAAATCAAAAAATTAGCCGGGCGTGGTAGCGCGCGCCTGTAGTTCCAGTTACTTGGAAGGCTGAAGCGGAAGGATTGCCGGAGCCCAGCAGGTCGAGGCTGCGGTGGCTGGGAGCGGCCACTGCACTCCAGTCTGGGCGACAGAGTGAGACTCCAACTCAGAAAAATAAAAATAAAATTAAATGAGAATAAAGTGGGTCCTTCATCAAATTTTTGTATTCCATGTGACTTCCCCCTTTTTTTGGCAATGGTTCCCATGACACTTCTTTCCATTCTGTTTTTGCTTAATGCAAGTAATTTTGTCCATATTTTCCATTTACTCTGATACTAATTAAATCCATTTTAAAAATCCTTTCCCATTTCTGAGCTATGGGTTTGAGATTGCTGGTTGTGTTAGATGTTCTGTAGCCTGAGAGCCTGGTGAGATGGGTGGAGCACAGATAGACCTATGAACAATCTTTATTTAGAGGGAAAAGATTATTTATAGTCCCTCATCAGAGATTCTTCAAGTGCTGTACCCAGGTTTATTCTATCTAGTAAGGGGCAATCCAATTTCCATGGAGGAAATACCCTATGGATTTGGACCATTCTCCTTCAATGTGGCCCCTATCTTTCTATCAGAGTGACACTCACACAATATTCAGTCACTTAACTGAAACAGCAGCTGTTTCTACTCCCTTGTCAGTCAGAAAAACAAAATATACTTCCTTAGTTATTTTTTCTCCAAATTTGGGGAGTATTAAAGAATGCTCAGAATTAGAATTATTTGCTGCTAGTGAAGCTTGCCGATCTTTGCTATTTTTCAATTCATTTCACCAGGTTTGTGGGGAAGATAATTTTGTAGTTCAGTTTCACTTCATCATATTTACTGGGAAATCCCTACCTTTCACTTTTACTAATTCAAGACATTTCCAGCATACCCTCCCCTCAAAAGTCTTCTTGAATCTGGAACTAACCAGATTTTTTTTTTAAGAGACGTCTTGCTGTGTCACTCAGGCTGGAGTGCAGCCTCGAATTCCTAGACTCAAGCGATCCTCCCACCTCAGCTTTCCGAGTAGCTGGGATTACAGGCTTGACCACATTGCCCGGCGAATTAACCAGATGACTTCAATAATTATTAATTAAGCATCTACCCTGCCAGTCACTGCTCAAGATTCTGAGGATTCACCAGTGACAGGAGTCAAAGTCCCTGCCCTCAAGGGGCTGTCCACGGGGGTGGCTGACTGGCACAAACAAACTGTGGGTAGGTGATCTCTTATGGTGGCAAAAGCTATGAGGGAAACAGAGCATGTGTGGTGACAGAGTGATGGAGGCTGCTTTAGGCCGGGTGCTCAAGGGGGTCCTGTCTGAGGAATGAACACGTTAAGTAAGACGCGCGGGAGCCAGCCTCCACGGGACGATGGAGAGGCCCCGCGAGGACAGACGTTGTATTAAGATGGAGTTGGCCAGCTGGCCTCACCTGCGCCCCTGCCTCTGGCGGCTGCCTCCCCTCCCCGCCACGCCCACGCTGGAGGTCAGGCTACAGCCGCAGATACTTACACCTTCAGCGTGGAGGCGCAGTCCTCCTTGAGCATCGAGTCCGCCAGCTGCTGCAGAAGGGCATCCTCCGTGCCCACCAGCTGCCCAGAGAGAGAAAGCGACCAACTGAGACCCAGGTACAGCAGTCCCTCTGGAGGGTCTGGCACTTTGAACCACTCCCTGCGGGATCAGGCCACCCGAAGGAGGCTCGGAGGGCACCGTTTCTCAAGAAGAGAACCCTCGCGAGGAAGCACGGGTTGAGGACCTGCCGTTTGCACTCCCAGGACTATTGGCACTGCCAGTTACCCTCAGCAGGACCCACCCTGCGACGCGGGAAAACCAAGTCTCAGGGTGGACGCCCACTTCGACCCCGCCCATCCACCAATCAGAAGCTGAAAAAGAGTCTGCTGCGCACCTATTGGTGGATGCCTCCTTCCGCCTTAGAGAGCAGCTACTCCGATTGGTTCAGAGCATGGCACTCCGCCTACCCAGAAGAGCGCGCGCTGGCGCTTCAGACCGCGCTGCGTACCGAGCGACTGGGGCGCGGTCCAGGGGGAAAGGCCGGCGGAGGAAGCGCGGCCGCTAGCACTTACCAAGATGGTGGCCGTGTTCAGGCCAGGCAACTTGTCCAGCGGCCTCAACACCGACATCGCTGTCGCAAGCTGAGCCGCAGCTCTAGCTGTGCGCGCCAGAACCTCTAACCGTCTGAGTCCCGCCTCTAGTGCGCTGTCTAGGGCACGTGACACTTTCTGGGCGGGGCTTCTCGGGGCGGGGCCCTCTTAAAGGAACCACTACTTACTTTTCTCGGGGCCCGTCCAGTCCTGGCTCAAGAAACATAAGGTGCTGGACAGGCCTTTTATTATATGCTTCAGAGAAAGAAAGTTTTCAGTGATTCATTTTTTTCACTTTGTTCATGCATGCTCATCACTGTACTCTTGATTCCTACCAGACCTGTCCTTCCTTGGTCTTACCCCATCTCAGCTGACTCCACCCTTGACGCTGCTCGGAAGAAAACCTTGAGGTCTAGTGGAACACATGTATATGAAGACAAAAAAACTCAGGGTCCTCCTGCCCTGTCTCCTAAAGCACTGGGATTACAGGCATGAACTGTGCCCAGCTCAGCGTCATTCTTGAGTCCTCATCACATCCCACATCCAGCAAGTCTCTCGGTTCTATTATTATAATATGTTCAGAGGCTGATCATTTTCTACCACTTCCACTGCCAGGACTAAGCCACAGTATCTGTCACCTGGACTAGTGTAACACCTTAGCAGCTCCCTGTTTTCACCTCAGGGGCACCAGCTATTCACACAGCAATCAGAGTCATCCTTTTAAAATGGAAATCAGAGCAGACCACTAATCTGATGAAAACCCACCGATGGTTTCACTCAGTGTGCTGCAAATGCCTTACATGACCTTTGAGGCCCTACGTGTTCTAGCCTCTGACAATCTCCATGACTTCAGTTTCTGCTCTTCTCTCTCCAACCACCCCAGCCACTAGGTTGTCTCTCAAATATTCCAGGTGTTCTCCTACCTCAGGACCTTTGTCCCTGGTGTTCCCTCTGGCTAAAATGCTGTTCTCCCATCAAGTCACATGGCTTGTTTCCCCACTATATTCATGTTTCTGCTCCAATGTCACCTCGTCAGAGGGGACTTCCTTAACAACCCTATCTAAAATAGCAAGCCCCCATACTTCCTATCCCTTCTCTCTGTTTCTGCTGTTTTCCCAATAATATTAACTTCTACTCCACATGTTATTGTCGAGAACTGTGCAGCATCTGAGCATTTAATCTACTAATAAACTAGCCTGTTATTTTGTTAGTAACAAAGTTGACTCGGTTACCTTATTTTCTTTGTAAAAGAAGTAGTTAAGCCGGGCTGGGTGGCTCAGCCTGTAATCCCGCGCCTTTGGGAGGCTGAGGTGAGTGGATTGCCTGAGCCCGCGGGTTCGAGACCCGCCTGGGCAGCAAGACCTCATCTCTACAATAAAAACAAAAATCAGCCGGGCGTGGTAGCGCATACCTGTAATTCCGGTCACTCAGAAGGCTTTGAGGCGGAAGGATCGCCGGAGCCCAGCAGGTCGAGGCTGCGGTGGCTGGGAGCGGCCACTGCACTCCAGTCTGGGCGACAGAGTGAGACTCCAACTCAAAAAAAAAAAAAGTAGTTGAGCTTCATGTTTGTTTGGTCAGTTCCCCAAGTCTTCCAAGTCCCATGACGGGCCCATTATGGATGCCTGTACACCTAATGGGTGGCATTATAGGAGAGGAACACAGAGATGGAAGATTCACTGTTTTTTATATGTCCAGTCTTTATTCAGGGAGAGACTTTACCTTATCCCTCAAGGTTCCTTGCTGCAAACACAACCCTGAGAAATGGCTTGGGTATAGAGCTGTCAGGGTTTTCCATTCTTGGTATACCCAGCAAGAACATGCATGGATGCTCATGGCCCATAGCAGATTGCTTCTCCCAACAGTTATATAATTAGTTGTTCATAGTCTATCTCTCCAACTAGCATGTAAGATACATGAAATCAGAGACTTTATCACTTTGTATGTGTCCAGCACTCTAAAATGTGCCTGGTGGCTGGGTGCAGTGGCTCCTGCCTGTAATCCCAGCACTTTGGGAGGCCAAGGTGGGAGGATTGCTTAAAGTCAGAAGTTCAAGACCACCTTGAGTGATAAAGCAAGACTGTACAAATGTTTAAAAATGTTTTAAATTAGCTGAGTGTGGTGGTGCACACCTGTAGTTCCAGTTACTCTGGAGGCTGAGGTGTGATGGTCACTTGAGCCCAGGAGTTGGAGACTGTAGCATGACATGATCATGCCACTGTACTCCAGCCTGGTGATAAAGCAAGACTCTCTTTTTTAAAAAAGTGCCTGTTACATTGTAGCTGATCAGTAATTATTTGTTGAATGAATGGGTTGATTCATATCCATTTATACATTCTCAGCAGTCATTAATTCATCATTTCCTAGGGCCAGACCCAATGTCCCACCCTGGGAATACAGATGAACTAGACATTATTGATCTACTTAGGGTACTGAGGGGAAAGATAGACAATGATAATAATAAGGGTGCTTATTGTGATATCTGGGAGAGCAGAGGTATACTCCCTGTCTAACTTAAATCCTTCTTACTGCAGACTAATTATGTCTTACTCAGAAAGAGCTGCAAGCAAATAGCTTCGTGAGCCCCTACCCTCAGCACAGATGGGACTTTGAATCCTCATGGCATGGGATGTGGAGGGGACTTCCTGAAAGTCAGGTGGAGATAAAATAAAACAGGGGAGATGACGGATGCGAAGAAGTTGCTTGAGGTCAGGGGAGGCCTCTCTAAGAAGGTTGTTTGCACAGATGTTTGAATTCAGTGAGAGAAGAGCCCATTAAGTATAAAGAAGAAGAGGCTTCAGGCAGAGAGAACTGGAACTGCAAACACCCTGAGTGGGGAGCGCTCCCGGCACTTCTGACTAATAGCAAGGAGGCCAGTGGCTGAGGCAGATGGAGTGAGAGGAGCGTGGGTGGAGGTGAGTCTGCAGAGATGATTGAGGGCCAGGAGACTGAGGCCCTTAGTGCTGTAGACTGCTCAGACAGCATGTGCTGAATGCCGGTTGAGCCAGGCCTTATGCTGGGCACTGGAAACCCCGGCACTAGAGGTGCCATCTTGCTTCTGGGAGTTACCAGTGGTAGCTGGCAGATAACGAAAAATGAAGGCAACACAGTGGGTGAGAGCTATTAGGGAGCAGCCAGAAAGCAAGAGGAACCCAGATAAAGGTGTATTACTTGTCTGTGGGGAGCCTACACTATACTTTACTGGGGAGGTGACCATTGGCTGAGATACCAAAACTGAGTTGGTGCTTGTCACTTGGGCGATGGGATAGAAATAGTTGTGTGGGCCCGGTGCAGTAGCTCAAGCCTATAATCCCAGAACTTTGGGAGGCCGAGGTGAGAGTATTGCCTGAGCCCGGGGGTTTGAGACCAGCCTGGGCAACTTGGTAAGATTTCATCTCTACAATAAATAAATTTTTAAAAAATCATCTGGGCATGGTGGCTCATGCCTGTAATCCCAGCACTTTGGAAGTGGAGGAGAGAGGATTATCTAAGTTCGGGGTTTCAAGACCAGCCTGGGCAATTTGGTGAGACCTCGTCTTTACAATAAATCAAAAAAATTAGCTGGGAGCAGTGGCACAGTGCCTGGTGTTCCAACTACTTAGAAGGCTGAGGCAGAAGGATCGCCTGAGCCCAGCAAGTCGAGGTTCTGGTGGTCGTGAATGTGCCACTGCACTCCAGCCTCGGCGACAGAGTGAGATTATTTTTTTTTTGAGTTGTTGTCTCTCTCTGTCACCCAGACTGGAGTGCAGTGGCAGCTCCCGGTCACCGCAGCCTCGAACTGCTGGGCTCCGGTGATCCTTCCTCCTCAGCTTTCCAAGTAGCTGGAACTACAGGCGTGCGCTATCACACCTGGCTAATTTTTTTGATTTATTGTAGAGATGAGGTCTCGCCAAGTTGTCCAGGCGGGTCTTGAACCCGCGGGCTCAGGCAACCCACTCACCTCAGCCTCCCAAGACGCAGGATTACAGGCTGAGCCACCGAGCCCGGCCACAGTGAGAGTCTAACTAAAAAAAAAAATAAAAGTTGTGTGTAGGACCCTGTGATGAAGGGTAGGGGTTGGCAGGAGGCCAGACCCAGGTCTAGAGGTTCTTATATCCTGAACACTCAGAGCTAGCAAGGCCCTCAGAGACCTCTGGGCTAGTGTTTTTCAAACTGGCTTCTGTGGTGCCCTGAGCGGGTGCCTTGGGACACTGTGAAGGACAGGAGGAATCTAAGTCAGTGGTGTCAGGAAACCTCACCCCACCATGTAATAGAAGCAACTCTGGCTTTATCTCTATTACATATTGCACTTCCGATACACTTTTGTATGAATAAAGAATCAATGGCTAGCTGGGTGTGATGGCTCACGCCTATAATCCCAGCACTTTGGGAGGCAGAGAAAAGAGAATTGCATGAGCCCAGGGGTTCGAGACCAGACTGGGCAACTTGCCGAGACTTCATCTCTACAATAAATCAAAAATTAGCAGGAGGTGGTAGCACATGCCTATGGTTCCAGCTACTTGGAAGATTGAGGTGGAAGGATTGCCTGAGCCCAGCACGTCGGGGCTGCTGTGGCCGTGAGCATGCCACTGCACTCCAACCTGGGTGAAAGGGTGAAATTTCAACTCAAAAAAAAAAAAAAAAAAAGAATCAATGGCTAAAACAATACCCAAAGGCCATTGATTACATTTTTATGGGTTTATTGAGGTATACTAGATATATAACAAATCACATATTTAAAGGTACAATTTGATATGTATTGACATATATGTGTACACCTAGGAAGCCCCCATCTCAATCTCAATCAAGATACTTAGCATATCCTTATCCATATATCTGGGGTTTCAAGACCAGCCTGGGCAATATATGTGTGTGTATGTGTATATACACATATGTATATATTCTTAAGATATCCATATCCCCCAAAGTTTCCTCCTGCCCCTTTGTAATCCTTCCTTCAACTCCTCTCTGCCCTCCCACCTCTAACAGCTAAAAAGCACTTTGGCAGCTTTGTTGTTCATAATACCCCACACTGGAAACATCCCAAATGCCCTTCAGTGGTGAACAGATAAACTCTGGTATGCTGATATATGCAACAGCATGGATGAATCTCGAAAGCATGATGCTGAGCAACAGAAGCCAG